AGTTTCTGTCTTTTGTTTCAGTTACACCAGACTAACACGGCTGCATCTCTATCACTCTTCTGCTTTAGGCGGTGATTCCTTATCTGCTGTATGCAGAACAGCATAATGGCTCTTTTGAGAGAGTTGGGAGGAGGGGTGGAGCACTGCCTGTTGCCAGATATATATCTGCTTGTTTAAATAGTTTAGATTTGGTTTGCTTTTACAGCCTAGTACAGTTTGAACCCTTACAGTGAGGATCAGGGAATAGGTGTACAAATAATGAAATGAAAATGCATCTAGAAAAAAAAGAAAAAAAAATCAGATCTACAATAGATCCTTTACCCCTTTTTTAAACTATCCTAGCTAGCCCATCACTAGGAAGATGTCTAATACAATACACTTTTAAACATTTTTTTACTAAAGATTTATTTTCTCTGCCACCATTTAGAATATTGCTGAGGCTAAATTTTCAAAGATGAATTGTCACTCGTAGATTCCATGACACAGATTTTACTCAGTAATGGTTTTATCAATTTCAGGATCAGTTCTGTCAGTTGAGTCTTTCTTTGTTCCTTACTCCCCAAAATCTACTTGGCTCCTTAGGGATTCCACCTACTTATCTTTTCCTCCGCCTTTCTGATGCATACTTTTTCTTACAGCAAGTTTTTCCCAAATCTAAAAGATGCTTCACCTCAGTCCCCCAGTGATTTTTTTTTTTCTGTCCTCCCTCTTCTTCACTTATCTGAGACCACAAGTGGAGGTAAAATTCCATGGGCTGTGCTTCCAGCCTGGGATGTAATGGTGTAATCGATTAACCAAGAAGCAAAAGTTTGTTGGTTAATGCTATAGACTACATGTATGCCCCTCTCACTCCCACCCCCGGCCCTGCCACTAAATTGTTTAGTAAGCTGGCCAGCAGCCCAGAACAGTTCCAGCTTGCACTGGGTCCGGGACCTACCCCTGCTGCAGCTCTGCATTTAAAGTGTATTAGGAGCCAGGTGGGCAGGCAGCCTGGCTCAGTTTCAGCTTGCGCCGGGTCTGGGAGCTCAGACCTCTCCTCCCCCAGACGAGCTGCTGCCACCCTGCGCTGCTGCCTCTGGTTTTTAAAATGGCTCCTCTCACGGACCAGCTCCTGCCTGGCACCCCACGTTGCTGCCTTTGTATCAGCGCAGAGTGGCAGGGGGCTCATCGGGAGTGGGGCTGAAGCACACTGGGTGCTGGCTACACACTGGGAACTGTAGAATAGTCGAGTAACCAAGAAACATTCATGAGGTTAATCAACTATTCATTTAACCAATATTTAACATCCCTACTGCCAGCAGCACATTGAGGTACATCTCATGCATACTGTTAAAGATATCGGGATCCATTTATCAAATTGGTGTAAAGCCACATAAGTTTGTTAGTTCCTCACTACATCCAGATGAACAAGGGAGCATCATTCATTTTCAGCTTCCTATACATTTCAACCCTTCTTCAAAAATGATTTGATTCTTTCATTATCTCCAAACTGGATTACTGTACTCACTGTATCTGGGTCCAAAGATAAAGGTGATGCAGAAGTTCTAGTTTGTGAAAAATGTGCCAGCTTTCTTTCTCAGGTAACTGTCACTGGTTCTGAGTCTGATTACATTGCCAAGTCAAGACCAATGAGCCTGATCTACAAAGCCAGACCTAGTTATGTTATCAATCAGATCTTTTCCATGAATCTTCAAAACAGCTGTTCTTGTACCATGTAACATGCAGATTACAATGCCCAAGGCAGAATATATGAGAATAGATTAAGATGATCTGATGTGGGATGAACTTTTAGAGGAGAATAAAGTTGACCAACCTCAGAGTACATGACAAAAGCTTTCTGGTCAAGAAAACTTTCCCAGTATTATCAAAATTATGTTACTTTTAAGGCTTATACCCACACACATATACTGCAGCCTCCTATAACCAGAAAAGAGAAAAACAGAAGACTTCATGAGTCCCCACTAAAGAACTTGCTGTGCAGATCTAATGTTGCTGAAAAGCACATGTAATAATAGGATTATGGGTTCTGTGGAAAATCCTAAGATTTCTTTAAGTTGAGTGGGTTTCAAGAGCAATGGGTTCCTATACATTTGCAACTGAGGGTATGTCTTCGCTACTGACCAGATCTACGAGCAGTGATCAATCCAGCAAGGTGTAGTACTCACTGTGGTAAGTAGCTGAAGTTGCATAACTTAAGTTGATGTCCTCACATTGTGTAGAACAGGCCTCAGAGACCACCAGGAAAGCTTTGTGGAAGAAGCTAAAGAGCATTATGAAATGTAATACCCCATGGAATATACCAGGGATGGGCAAGAGGCTGCCAACTGGCCGAATCCGGTCTGCCAAGCCACCGGATCTAGCACGCGGTTGCCTCGCTGGGACCCTGAAGCACAGTAGCAGCAGCTGCTTTGAATGTGGCTACTGTATTCTGGGAGCGAGGAGGGAGGCTTTGTGCTCTGCCCTGTCCTTTAGCAAAATCTCTCAGCTCCCATTGGCCAGTTTCCAACCAATAGCAGCTGAGATATTTTGCTGGCAGCAGGAGCAGCCAAAGAAGCCTCTTCCCTCTCTTCCTCCCCCCACTCCTTCACCCTGCCCAGAGCAGAGCCAAGTAGAGCTGCTTGCAACTGCAGCCTTCAGGTTCCTCCAGGGCTGCTAACTGGGAGCTGCCTAGGTAAGCGCCTCCCAGCCAGACCCTGCCTCTGGCATCCCTACCGTCTCCTTCCCCCCTCCCCTCCCAACTACCTGCCCCAGGCTACCACCCAAACTCTCTGTATGCCTTCCTCCCAGGTTACAGCTCCCTTCCAGACCCTGCACCCTCTCCTACATCCCTTACCCAGGCCAAAATTATCTTCTACAACCATACAACCTCCCTAACCCTGCACCCCATTCTGTTGCCCCAGGTCATCACCCAAACCCTCTGAACATGCTTCATCCAAGTCACAACTCCCTCCCAGGCCCTGCACCCCCTTCAGGCCAGAATCCTCTCCTGCACCTATACTCCCTCTTGGACTCTGCACCCCAAGTCTCTGCCCCAGATCACAACCCCCCCCACCTAAACTCCCTCTCAGACTCCACACCCTCTCCTACACCCCAGTCTCCTCCCTAAGCTCCATTCTGCACCCAACCTGTTTCCTAAAATTGTGTTGCCCACCCCTGGAATATACTATAGGTGCAGAGCTCCAGGATATCTTACTCTTTCATGTGAAATAATTGTGGAGTTTATTTATCCTTTCAATTTTTCAGCATACTTGAGACAAATCCGTATATAGGCTCTTTCTTCATGTAAGTAGTGAACGGGTTACATTAGCTCACCAGCTCTATGTAATGAAGACAGCATTTTATACTGAAGTGCTTAATTTTCTATCCGGATAGCAACTATACACTATAGTGGCTCTATTTAGGCTGGCAGTACAAAGCTTAAAAGTCTTCATTTTGCTATTGTGAAGAGGACAAGATGATCCAGAATAGCTGCTTTAAATTTCGCTGTATTTTTGTATGTTTGAAACTCTTCAAAGGCAATACTACTTATGGATGAAAAAGAGCGCTGGGAGTCAAAAGGCCTGGGTTCAGTTATGGCTCTGCTACATACTTCAGCTGTGAATGTTTAGCAAACCTCTTAAATCTGTGTCCTTTCATTTCCTCATCTGAAAATGGATATTTCCTTTCCTTTAATTCTTAGTATGATTTTGCTATACTCGGAGAATTCTGAAGTGAACTGGAGGACAAACTTGTGATCCCAGGGTTTGTAACTCCAGGTGATAGTAGCCTCATCTGTGATGATGGTAAATCAGTTTCTGTAGAGTGTCAAACTACAGTGTAAGACCGAGGTCACCAACCAGTAGATCGTGATCTACCGGTAGATCTCAGGGGCTCTAAGAGTAGCTCTTGAGCCCTCTCTGAACTGCGCGCCTGCACAGTACATTTACATTAGATTTCCTCATTTGAGGAGCAGCTACTCACCGAGCAACAACACAGGTGAGTAGCTGCGAGGAATGGTGGGAGCTGGGAGGT